ATCTATCTATCTATCTATCTATCTATCTTATCTATCTATCTATCTATCTATCTATCTACACACACACACACACACACACGTGTGTATAAATATGTATAATTTATGTATTATAAATAGATAATAAAGGCTTTTCTTAATTACTATTGGTTGATTATGCTAGAAAATAGGAACTAGAATCTATTGTCTGATTGGTACAGAAGCAATCTGGCCACATTTCTTTTGATTTTTCCATTTTGATATATCAACATCTGAGCTAGGAAAGTCCTGTTGTATGATCAACTTTTATGTGTGTCCTATAAATGTTTAAAGGTACTGCTTAAGAGAGTTCCGTAGTGTGCAGAATATGAAATATGGGGAATTAGAGTTGTGTCTCTTTACCATGAACTAGACTGTGGATTTTCCTTTGTGTCAAGTATTATTATCCTTTCGTTTCAGTGATGCGGCTCACAGGGTACATCCTTTAGCTGGCCAAGGTGTAAATATGGGCTTTGGTGATATTTCATGCTTGACAAATTATCTAAGTGCTGCAGCATTCAAAGGAAAAGATCTAGGTAAGTATATAACACAATGAAGCAGGGCTTTGTCATAAACATCTAGCGTGCCAATGGCCATCTCTCTGGAAATCAACATGGGTTTATTATTTGATTAATTACTTTAATTAAAAACAAGGATACGGACATGTTGCAAAGCAAAATGTTTCTAACTTAATTTTTTGGGGGGATGTGAGCTTTTTAGAACAAGGCTGCAGAAGCGGCAAGTAGGCCTGCAGCTCGTGCAAATGGAGCTGCACACATAATATCCCCCCCCCCACACACACACACACCTGCCCAGTCCACAAAGCCGGGAAGGTTGGGGAACTCTGATGTAGGCCATGTAATCTACCACATGAGTGGAAAATGTTGATCTTCAAAGAATGCCATTACCCCCTTCATACCATTTTCTTTTTGTTAAACTCTGACATTTTATCAAATTGAGTAATTTTGTAACCTGATGCCAATCCTCCCTAACTTCCTTGGGATAATCAGTTTACTAATTAATTAATTTCAGAATAAACTTTGTAGGTTCTTTAAGTCATCTACTACAATATGAAGGAGAACGACAGAGGCACAATCTTTCTCTTGTGGCAGCAACTGATTTGTTAAGCAGACTTTACTCTACAAATATGGCGCCTTTCGTGCTGCTGAGGACGTGGGGATTGCAAATAACCAACGCTGTACCTCCGGTTAAAGTAAGCTCTCTCTTTTTAAAGTAGGTAACTGAATGTGATAATTCATTTAAAGAAGAAGGCTAATGGAAAGGGGCATGTTTGTAGCTAGACAATAGCCCTCCTGAACATTTATCTTCTTTCCACATGTGGTATTGATTTGATTCCCATGATGGGCTACTCGGAATAAACTAATAGCTCTCAGCTGGATGGTTGTTCAGAATCTTCTATAACTCTTGCTATCGTCTTGCAGTTAATTGGTCACTGTAGCCCAGATCTTGCAATCCTTAAATTTAACTAACTAGTACTGTATGTCTATCAGCCTTCTTCAACCTTGTACTTTCCAGGTGAATTTAATTTCAGTTCTAAAATACCATTAAGTTTCCATAAATGGAGAGGAACTTTGATTTAAATCTATAATTTTATGTGTAAGAACACAATATCACCTATGTATGATTCATATAGTTCTTTTGTTTTGTAGATGACAATTTTTGCAATTATTTAGTTAATTTAATTATTAATTTTGCTAATAAAACAATTTGCTGTTGCCTTAAGGTACAAAGATTTTTATCGAGGACTCAAGTAATTGATCTTACTTAAATTACACACCAAGAAAGTGGTTAAGAGACTATTAAGTGCAATGTAGAACACACAGTACTGTTCTTTTTTTTACTACCGATATCAAAACTGTACACTAGGGATCCTCTGTAGATATCTCTGGAAAGGATCTGTGATGGCACTTTACCATCTATATGATTTATTAGGGCTCTTCAAAAAAAAATCCCCAAATCACAGGATACTGGATAGTTCCTCAACAGACCTACAACTGTACTACTACTGTTGTATTTTATTTTCGTTCATTGGTATCCCTGGGGGGGAAGACCTAGTAGGAAATGAGAAAAAAGAGGTTATCACCTAACCTAGTTGTAATAAACTTTTATGGCATAGGAAGGTAACAAGGATTTTGGTATGGATTTTCCTTTCTGCTTAAGAAACCACATCCTCATTGTTATGAATAATGGTAGAAGTAATAGAATACTAAGATGCCTGTTTTTCCCTCATCCTTTAGGAGCAGATCATGGCGTTTGCCAGTAAATGACAACCTTGTGAATCCAGAGGTACATGCTCACTCATGATAGCTGGATATCTATTTATATACTAGAGAGAATTAAGGAGATGTATAAGACTGTTAGGCTAATTTATTACCCTGAAGTTGCTGTTTCTTCCAGTGAATAGATTATTTGGCTTTCTCTTAGAATTCCAAAAACTATTCAATAGCACTCAATTTTTTAAACTATAAAAATTAGCCTAGCAAAGGACTACTGCTGGAAAAAGTTTATGATCATAGTAAAGAACAATTAAAGGTTCAAGTATTGAACAAAGTACAACCTGCTTCTCATGAGCTTGTCCTCTTATTGTCTTGGAGGAAACAACATTGAAGAGGTAGTTGTTGCTTGCTGATTATAACCTTAAGAAGTAGAGTAGCTGAGTGAATATCGGTTACAGACTGCCAAAGAACATTGTTGAAATAGTTTTATTATTAAAACATTCAAATGTGTCCTAGCATTTTGTGTAACAAACAGCTAGGTTTGAGAATATCCATGTATTACAGCACCACGTTCAAGAATATAACTAAATGAATAGTGATATTCATACTGTCCTCTGAATAAAAATTTCAGAATAAAATCTGTGTTTCTGGAAAAAAAAATCTAAAATTTATTTCACAGTTACATACAGTGCTACATATATAGGCATATATTAGGAAGGAAGTTAATCCATTTACAGTTTAGCTTAATTTTATCTACTTAGATATAAATTACTTGTTAAGCAACTGTCCCAATGCTAATAATATTTATACACCTAATATCTGTCTTTGCTTAAAGAAGTAATTAATTTAGTCCTCTGTTAGGTGTTTCTTTCATTAACTCTTCTTCCAAGAATTATACAGTTGTACCTTTTTCAACAAGGCCATTGCAGATTCTTTTCAGATAATTACATTTGTAAACAATCTCAATACATGAGGAAAAGCATAGGCACTAATATTAAACTAGTAAAGGGATCATCAGAGGAAATAAAGTTTTAGCATCAGGCCTCATTCACTGAGACAAATTCCTGATTAGTACTCCACATTTATTTAAATAAGTATCATTTCAGAGTAAATGTATACAGAATTGACACTTCTGATATTGAGTAAGAGCACTTGGTTAAAAATGTAGGTATATCTTATTACCATGTTTTAACATTTATGCTGAAGAGGGTTTTTTTAAAGAAAAAAATGTATACTATCTAGAAATATGTGCAAAATATTAAAGTGGCTCACTTAATACATAGTTCAGGAAATTATTTTGTTTTATCATTTGAAGAGATCTTCTGATTCAGTTAAGTGCTTTGCAACAAGTAATGTATTAATCTACTAGCCAGAATGTTGGAATCTAACTGCCCCTTGTCTCCAAACCAATATATATTTTGGGGGAATGTGCTAGTTAAATAAAAGACATTTATTTTCATAGAATTCTTTAAAAAGAGGCTATCCAGGGCTTGCATTAAGTGATTCTATAAGAGTTAACTGAGGAGGAAGTTATTATTTAACCCAAGAAAATCTCCTTTTCTAACATAACACATTACAGAGGACTTTGTTGTTCAAATTTAGAAAAATAAACCTGAAACAATTCCTTGTGGGATTCTTAAAATCTTTTTGCTAATACTTCTCACCAACTAATATATATATATTTGAATAAAATAACATCCTTATTTATGCTTAAGAACCAACTAACCATAGAAGCATAACTACTTGGTTTCAAACAACTTATGGAAAAGATAAATAATACACTTCGGTTTTGCTGTTTTTTTAAACAAAAAAATCAGACTAAGCTGTTTCTTTGATGTGAACATTCAGAATTTCATAGATAAAAGAGCTCGCGGAGCAAGTCCAACGTTGGATGTGCTAGTACCAAATATGCATTCATGACTTGACAGAAACGATGCCTAATCTGTTTTGAAGTTCTTTGGCATCAATTAGGTAGTTAGGTCTTGCACTGTAGAAGGATTTTTGTTGAACTGCAGTTCTTAAAAGTAAAACATTTCTTCTACTTTGGTCTGTAATTTTATCATGTGTTGATCAGAATGGCTCTTGCAAGCAATGCAAATCTTCTGTTTTCCTAGTTGGAGAGTCCTAGAGACTGTAGAAGGTGAAAGGTAGCCCCCAAAGCCCAGCTTGTCTCTATGTTATTGACTTTCTTCGCTAGCTGAAAAGGAAAAATAAGAAACCTGATTTCACTTGATTGTACAGGCATTTTTTAGATTGAATACATTTTTAAAAATAATCTACATGGATCTGACAGAGATCGTTATCGTAATTACAAAGCAGCCACTATAACAATATTTTTCAATTTGATGGTATCCTAGATCAGAGTTGCCCAACTTTTCCGACTTTGCGGACTGGTGGGGGAGGAGGGTAAGCAGATGCTTTCATGTGGATGGGGGCAAGCGCACATGCAATCCATTTGCACACGCGATGGGCCCGCTCGCTGCTCATGTGAATGGAGAGCACATACACGGTTACCCAGTGGTCACACAAGTGGGGATGTGCATGCGTATTCACCCACCACTTCCATGGCCCGATTCCAAACGGTTCAAGGCGCGGTACCATTACCACCCTGTACATATGTAAACTACATCCACTATCAAACCCATGAGATACATAGGTGCCTATATGAACTACTTAGGGCCCTTGTAGGAAAACATTGAAGCTGAAGTGGTCCTGATTGGCAAACAGGAAGAAGATCTGATCAACAACCTGAAGCCCAGTAAATCAAATGGTTTCTATTCACTAATCCTATCTCAGAGATAGCATGGCTAGCTGCTGATCTAGTAGGTCACATGGATGGGCTTATCTAAAATATAATTTCCACTGTGTCTCTCTTTGTCTTGCTGTTGCAATGTAGTTCTCACATTTTAACCATTTGTTCAACAACCATTCAAACTTAAAACACTGAAAAAAGTGACTGATGACTGGTCCTTGCACTATTGCAGTATCCCCACAATCATGTGATCCAAATTTGGACTCTTGGCAACTGGCATGCATTTATGATGGTTGCGGCATCCTGGGGTCACCCGATTACCATTTGCAACCTTCCAGCCAGCGTCTGACACGGAAACTCAATGAAGAAAAGTGGATTCACTTAATGAATGCATGATTCACTTAATAGTTTCAGTGATTTGCTTAATAATTATTGGAAAGTTTTTAAAATTGGGTATGACTCATTTAACAACAGCCTTGCTTAGTAATGAAAATTCTGATCCCAATTGTGATCATAGATAGAGGACTATCTGTAGTGGATGGAAAGTATATAAGCCCTGGTTATGATTTTGCTTATAGCTGCCCAGCAAAGTATTAAAACTTTGCTGGGGGTCCACTATATACTGTATTATTGCTTATATGCATGCAGATAAAATTATGTTGCATCTTCAGAGTGACTTGGTTGCTTCAGGTAAATCAGGTTTTGACCACATTATTATCCAGAAATGCAAAAGTTACAGAAAAGAAGTGGCACAGTCTTGGGAAAAATATTAATAAATTATTTGCAAATGATCCTGTAACTAAAGTAAAAAAGGGTAAAGGTTTCCCCTATTGGTCATGTCCAACTTTAGAGAGTGGTAATTACCATATTTTTCGGAGTATAAGACGCACCGGAATAAAAGATGCAGCAAGATTTTGAAGAGGAAAATTTTGAAAAGTTTTTGCACTCTGCAAACCTCCCCAAAACAGCTCATTTTTTTGTGAAAACTGGCCCATTTTTTTCTGCCCAAAAAGGCATGAATAGCCTTTAGGGAACTTGCAGAGTGCTCGGGGGGGGGGGGGGGAACTAGAAAAAAATGGCTCATTTTTTGTTTAAAAAGGGGCGTGGATAGCCTCTAGGAAGCTGCCCTCCCCAGCCCCCAGGGGCTCTCTAAAAGCTTCCTAGGGCTGTGTACAGTCATTTTGGTGAAGGGGGTGGGGTTTCGGGAGGCAAAAAATGCTGTATTCAGTGTATAAGACACACCCAGATTTTCAGCCTCTTTTTTGAGGGGAAAAAGGTGCGTCTTACACTCCAAAAAATACGATATTTCCGATTCACAACCGAAGAGCCAGTGTTACCCGAAGATGCTTCAGTGGTGACATGGCCAGCATAACTATACCCTGAAGGCGCAAGGAATGCTGTTAGCTTGCCATCAAAATGGTACTTACCTATTTGCATTTACATGCTTTTGAACTGCTATGTTGGCAGTTCAAAAGGGGCAGATGGGGCAAGTAAGAGGGACTCACTCTATCATGTGGTACTTAGATCTCAAACGTCCAACCTTCCTGTTTACAAGCCCTTATAACATCTTAATCACTTGACCATAAATATTATTTGCAAATGATTTTGCAACTGAAGGAGCAGTCCTCATTCCATAGAATATGGAATTAGATGTAGTAGCATCATGTCTTTATAGATTTCCTAGTGGTGTCTAGATTACAGATGCTAGGGTAGACTGGGATTAGATGAGTCTTCTGATCAGCATGGAAATTCTACATTCCCAAATTCAAGTATTTGAATGCCATGAAAATAAATGTATAATCCATCTAATCGGCAAAAAAGCTTTTTTGAGTTCTCATTCAGAACACATTTAACCTACAGTTAGCAACTTCAAATGAAATAAAGGTATTGTAATTCACTTTTTCCTCAACCTAATGCTACAGAATATAATACAAAAACATGATAACTTCTATTTATTTTCACAAATAGTCCAACAATTATATTGCAATCAATGTTACTAAAATAAATAAATTCCCCATAACTTCATGGGATGAAATGCTGTTGGATCCTGCAATTTTTACTTGCCTGTAAAACTGTGCTGTCTCCAAATCCAAAGCCTTCTTTTAATAAAGCTGTAATATAACTGAGATCCATACATAAAAAGGGGCTGGCAGTGCTATAGTTATCCAGATTATCACAAACTAAATGAAAACAATGAGGAGAATATTCAGTAAAATTAGAATAGCTGCTGAAAAATAAACATAATGATTAGTATCACAGAAACTCTTGCTTAATACTAGTTTACTGCTAATCATGGCTGAAGGATCTGGAATGAGCTATGGTTTTGGCTGCTTGTTTTTCCTATGTCTTTTAACCAGGTGGAGGAATAGATTTCAAATGCTGGGCTGAGCATCTCAGGAAGTTTTCAAATGTACTAATGAATGTGGATTGAATTATGTAACCATAGGCTGTTTCCAATTCCTTAGTCTTACTTGATGACATACTACTGACTATTTAAACTATAGAGTAGATCATTTACTCCTCATTTAACATAAGTTTGTAAACACATTATAGATAATACATACCAAGATGAGATCCCATAAGATGGCAAATATTGTTGAATTTATGATACCTATCAATTGGTTTTCTTTCAAGGATTTCTTTTAGTCAGTGAGATAATTAACCTGTCTTATCTCTTAAGAATAATTATATTGCTGTTTCAAGTTTAAATATACTAAACATGACAGGCAAGTGATTAAAAATCTGTAAACACAAGATAGCCAAATAAAAACAAAACAATATAAAATAAAAACAAAAAATTGAGCTATTTAAAATTGGTAGCAAACTAACTAGAAGGAATCTAGATAAAGTCAAACTCATTTTACCTTGTTTGGCTTTTCTTTCAAAGTCTTTCACATATAAAACACCACCTTTCTCATAATCTGAAATGACAAAAGGTTAAAGTTGTCATCTGACTCAGAAAAAGTTACTGTAAAAATCATAATTGTGACATAATGAAATCTGCATTTCAAATTGCACAGTACTTCCAGATCAGTTAAAATCTGAATGATGATCATTTAAAAAAAAATCATGAGGTTTTTGAATCAATACTGCAAAATGACACATTTCTTGCATAGTTCTCTTTCACATTAAATTTAAATATTATTATTCCCCTTTAAGGTATAGCTTTTTCTTTATGCCATATTAACATTTTGGAATGATGCAACCTTAAGGCCTTGGTTAGGTTTTGTTTTTTTTAGCAGGGTGGGCACCACTTTGTGCCCCCAGGTCTATCTATTCTTAAGTCTCTTACACACAGAGAGAGCAGTAAGTTTTACTTCTGCCCGGAGCCTTAAGCATGTAATCCCCTATATTTCCTTTTAAGGGAATAGGTCTCTAGGTTGGAAAAAAAAGCCTACTTCTCCACTTTTCTCTCTCAATGCAGCTGCTATTAATGTTCCAATATAGCATTGCTTCACTCCTAATCACTATCTTCCCTTCCCCTCTCTTCCCTCAGCTATTGCCCTGATAGCCAAGGATGTCACTTGCAG